TAATTTAGTATCTAGTATACTTTACTATATATTTTATAATTAAAATATATAATTTAGTATCTAGTATACTTGAGTGTAAGAGAATTATTTTACAGACGAAGTTGTAGAAAGAACAGCATGAAAAACCAGCGTCGCAAATGTTTCTATGAAAGACAGGGAAAACTTAACAACAGCACGGATATTACTGAAAGAGGAGATTCTCTCTCCCCTCTCTGACCATCGGTATTTCACTCTTGTCGATCGGTGTTTATCGATTGGTTTTTTTTTTTTTTTTTGTCAACTCGTTTTCAAGGCGTAAAATACGAGTTGCTTCAAGAAGAAAAACAAGTTAGTACCGTAAGACGATCGATTCGATCAACGAAAAATAGAGAAAGCGGAACGTTAGATTGATATTTGCTCTTAAATCGATCGATTCCATTTACTCGAATGAATCTTTTAAAAAGATCTTGTTACGTTCCAATATATTACATTTGTATCGACTTGTTTGATATTTATATTCTCACAAGGAAATACTAGTAGAGAATACTAATATCGAATCAGTCTATAGTTATTGTATTTTATATTTGTATTAATTAAATATGAAGTTCCGTCGTAATTTTTCGAAGATGCCAATACTATCTCGATCAGTCTCCTCCTTGTTTTCCATTATTCTTCAATTTCGATATAACGTTACGAAAATAACGCTTCTTTTCAAATTAATCCAGAATTCCAGCTGTATTGGCATTGTATGGTTTCTCTAATAATAATTAGACTCGGAATAAATATAAAATCGGATCGTTAGTTATGCAAAATATTATTACGCTCCCAGATTGTACAATTATTTATAATTACTTAAAGGTGGTATTCGCATATTAAAAGATACCACGCCATGAAATGTAGATACGCGTAAATAAACTCATTTAAAAAAAAAAAGAAGCGAATTTCATTGCTTGATAATCAAATATTGCTAATAAACTGTGTCTGTGATTCTAATAATACTGTTGCAAGGAACTGCGAGGATTTTCCACGTTATATTCGTATTAATTTACCTGATGTTCGTAAACACTGTAAGCTGTGGAATGGCTTCGTAATTCTTGGAGAATGCCAACGCTATCTCAATTAACCTTCCCATTACTTTTCGTTATTCTCCAATCCCAATATCTCGCGAAAATTATGTTCCTCTTTCAAAAAGTAAGGATTAATCGTCCGCTTGCTATAGCAAAAATAAACGCGAGCCAGGGGAGGAGGAGGAAATCACCTTTTACAATCTGGAGGAAAAGAGAGGAAACTTCCGCTCGGTCGAGTGCTAAATAATTATCCTAATTTCCCTTAAAGTCGGCGCAAGCCGCGTTTTGGCAAACGTTCGTTTCACAGCCGGGGAATAAATTACTGGCCGCGGCATAATGGTTTCGCCTAATTTACCGAGCTAGAAATTAAAATTTTCTTTTTTCACGTAATGCATCCTCTTATTCTTTTCCTTCCTCCGCGTGTACAGGATGATACAAAAAAAGGGGGCGGGTTCAAAATGTCAGTAGAATAGGTAGTGCTCGCAAAATTAAACAAATCCTAATGTGAACATGACTCGAGAAATTAAACCTAATTCAAGTCCTTCTCAAATCAACCATTGATTCGTTCGACGTCGATGAGAGACTTCCGGTTGGACGGCGTAAGGGTGAAGACGTGTGTGAGATGAAAGATACAAATAGGAGAGCGTTTAAACATGAGGAAGAAGCAAGACGCTCAGACAAGAAGTTAGTGATAGAATGCATAAGGGAGATGGAAAGGCAGACGGGGGAGAAAAAGCCAAATAGGTGGGAAGAAAGAAGAAGAGGAGTAAAGGGGAGACTGAGAATCAGCGAGGACTGGATGAGAAGAGTTAGAGAGGAGGAGGAACGAAAAGCAGTGGGAGTTGTAAAGAGAGTAAGGAAAAGGGTAGAGAAGGTGAAAGTGGAGAGTAGAAGAAGAAAGATCGAAGAGTCGAAATACAACGCACACTACACAGAAATAGCAACAAAAAAAAGGCCAGAATATCTAAAGCAGAGGATGAGAAGAAAGGAGCCTGATAGCAAGGTTCAGATGCAACAATGAAGATAGAGGATTCGTTCGACTTCGATGAATTTTATTTTTTAATAAAACAATTATTATATATTTCTATTCATCAATGCAGTTTGATAAGTTCTATCGATCAATTTTATTTTTTAATAAAATCTTGCATCTCGTATTTTGACAAGTTCTTTTTATAATTGCAGAAAAACGCAAAACACATGAAAAATATAATGTAATACACAACACACAAAATAAGAAGGGACGTTCATTGTTAATAAACAGAACGTTCGAGCAACAGGATATTAATCTTTCGACGCACATCCATTAAAATTTCCTTTCAATATTTGGCAAACGCTACTTATTCCACAAGTTATGAACCTTTCTTTCTCATCAGCCGGTATTCTCGTCCCTCGTTTCTTCAATTCGCGTAAGTCCATCTTCCGACAACGCGAAGTTCGGGCACGCGAAATCCCCGTGGGCGGAATCTCCGTTTCGCCGGCTGCACACGACTCGGAAGAGACTCCTCGAAACTTTGACCGTGGCTGAGAGAGGGATAGCGCAAGAGTTCCCTCACCGACGAAAGAATGGAACGATAGAGGAGCTAATTGCACTTTTGACTACTCCGAGAAACTGTGCCGTTAAATATCGCCGCCAATGGAATATTTCATTAAGTACGGCTACGCGAAACTTCCCTCGCAGCTGTGGTTTCGAAGCATTTATCGCGAGAGTCTCTTTCTCTCTCTGGATATTTAGTATATTTTAACTTCGATGTTTGAGAGAAACTTGACAGAGAGAGAGAGAGAGAGAGAGAGAGAGCTATATTCTTCCTTTTCATTTCCGATATCAATAATCTTAGTTGTCGAGAAACAATTTCGTGAAAAATTCACCGTTACTTTTCTAAAATTCATTCGAGTGTAACATATTGCGAGCAGCAATGCAAGTCAAAATAATTTAATCTTCGGTTAGAGAAACATCAGTAATCAAAGGAAGACTTGCATCGCTAAAATATTAAAGACAAATTACGTTCGAAAACTATGTTTTAATAAATATAATGCAAGATCGATTTCAAGTCGTGTACGAAAATCCACAGAGAACGGCAAACTTGAAGCAACATTTCGCGCAACGCAAATACACACTCCAAACCTTCGCCGAGGGAGTGAATCTATCCCGAATTTCATCGAGAATGTTTATCCTTGAAGATGTCATTCGTTCGAGAATTCGACAGCAAACGTTCACCGAGGTTTGACGAATGCTGACCTTAACCCGCGCGAAACGCAACGCAACGTTGCATAGATATGGAAAGGACGGGGGAAGAATGGAGAGCAACTGGATCTGATGCAGCAGAGGGTGTCCCCGGGGTACATTATGCGTCCAAACCAATCCTGTCGCTGGTATCCGGACCGATTCGATAAGCCCTTAATCCATTGGCAATTAGTCGGTGCAGTGGCCAACGGAAACCCCTTCAACCCCTAAAGCTGCAACCCTCCTCTCCTCCCCCATGATGTAAACGATCGCCGTCTCTATCTATCGCGCGAGCTATTGGTCTCTCCTGTCTCTTCTCTCCTCTCCTCTTTGTCACGGGGTTAATTCAACAGAGTCTCTGTGACTATATAATTAACCGGTGGCCCGTGTATGTTTATGCACAGAATACAGCAGCTGTACTGGGTTATTTACGAAGCAAGGATTCGAAAGATCCGTTCTACAGGACGCTCGTTTGACTTCCGGTTTTTTCTACTTATCGATCATCCAGAGTTGTATCGATCACTGTTATTCTATACTTTAATTTTTACACCTGTTGAAAATAAATAGTTTGCGCGTACAACGTGGGAAAGGAAATTTGCTTCAGTCGATAGTTGTCGTGACTTGTTCGAGACAAAGAAATGTACTTGTACGAAACGTTGTTAGCAAACTGCGAATTTGATGTAAATTGATACGTTACGAGAGTATAACTGTTGGAAATTTAATTAAATAGAACATCGGTGGGGAATTGTTTATTTTAGATATAACTATACTTTGGATATTTTACGTAATTTTGTACTTTAACATTTTCTACAAACGCGCGAAAATCTGCAATTTAATTGTCAGTTGTGTCGCTAATAATAATTCTCGCTGCGGTATTTAACAGTTAGTAAAATAAATTTCTGCGTAGGTTCTCTTTTTTAATCCATAGAAGTACAAACGTGCATAAATATTCGCGATCTAATAATTATTTGTTCGACGAACATACGGTACAGGAAAATCGATATCAATCACGAATATTATCTTTCAGTTTCGCAATTCATTTAACTATAATTTCGTTCAATCGCTACCACGATTCATTTTCGGGACATTAAAAAAGTATAATCTAATGATTATTTTATGATAAAAGTCACAGTACATCGTATTAGTATAATTTTCAGCTGCCCACATATTCGCGGATAACATCAACAACGACGAATAATTCGGTATCGCCAGATTAAATCTACTCGTCATTTTAACTCCATCGTATTTTAATTTCGCCGAGTTTCCTTCGTGACGTATTTACTCGTATATTACGGAGTAACTTAGCTTACTATTCGTTAAAAGGAAGAAGATCCCAGGCGTGATATTCCTCGAGATTTATATTCCTCGCGTCGCATTCTTCCTTTAATGCAACGCGGAACGAAGAAGCCAGGAGCGAACTACCGAAGAAGAATAAAAAAAAAAAAAACAACGAGAGAAAAAGAGGTGAAAGTAAGACGAAGGAACATCGCGCGACGTTCGCTGGTGATCCGTTTTAAAAAGAAGTGTACGTGACGTTCTGGCTCCTTATTTTTCGAAGTGAACGGAAGAGTTTCCGCGCGCGGTGAAAGACATGTATAAAGAGCGAGACACACCGGCATCGAGGAATAACGGCGAGCAAGAGAAAAGAGAAACGAGAGCGCGCAAGGCAGAAGGCGCAGCTACTTCACAGTTTCGTCGTAAAGAAAGGGAAGCATACTTTCGTAAGAACTCACCGTGATACGTCCTCCTGAGAAACAGCTCGTGGCGTGGCCGCGCCATGAAGAGCCAGGGAAGACGCGTGACGTGATTCTTGCGAGTACGGCAGCGTCGAGTTGTTCTCCAGCGCCGACACAGAACCATTTTGTTTTCCTGTTTACAACAGAAACGAATGTGAGAAGAAGCAAAAAAGACGCCAAGAAAATTGACTTAATCCATCGAAGACCGAGTAATAATTTTCCACTAATTTAATGAGACTGTGGACTTTTATGAAAAGGTACGTGTTTGAAACTCTGTAATGGTTTAGAAAATTGCTTTACCAAAGCACCATATTTTACGCATCTTTTTTATACTATATACGTACATTGCATATAATTTCATATTTTTAAAAATTTTCTACAAATGCATGAAATCCACAATTTCATCGTTTTGAAATTGATCTCTTGGTACTTTATGAGATTATACTGTTGACGCTCAAACTTGGTTTGTTATTTTCGGATTTCTCGGGGAATTTAAAAATTTAATCAGTATACAACGAATGCGAAAAGTATTTATACACCTTTATATATTTATGTCATCAATATTGTATAATTATTATATTTGCACTATTGTTAATCATTACATTATTCGTTATGAAAATTCGTTTGACAGCGGAAAATTTCGCGTGACTGCGAAAATTTGTAGAACCCGAAAATGAAACTGAAACGTAGAATCAGATGGAAAAAAAAATATAATGCCTCGTAGGGAAAGAAGTATGTACATATAGCGGGTAAATACTCTTTGTAGCCGCTGCGTTCAATCACGATGTCAAATAAAGGAAGAATGAAATTACTGTGAAAAATATTACAAAAGAGTTTTGAATATGTGCGAATGAAGAAAGACCGAATTACCCAATCCTTTGGAAGGGTAGTAACTTTCAGGTAACTATGTTTGTATAACGACTGCGATGAAATTTCACTCCATTTGATTATATTTCGGAACAATTTCATCCCCTTTTTCAATTCAAAAAAACTGTCTGCACCAGGAGAATTCATTTCGCGTTAACTTAGAAATTCTGAGTAAAACTGATACAATTACGTTCCGCAATTTTTTCAATCGAAATGCAATTCGAATAGAAAAAAAAAAAAAAAAAAAAATCACCGTGCTTTGGACAATTTCTGAACGTGTTCGTGGTGCTTTGCAACCTGCGTGAAACGTGAGAGAGTTTACGAGCTCGTCTTTATGAGCGTCATGAATAAGTTACGCGTGATCGTCGGCGCGGACAAGACGGCTGGGGAATTCGTGGTGAAGTTTCTAGATCAAAAATTCACTTGAACAACGACCACTACGGAGAGGGAAACAGGGTTAGGTTTATCATTCACTACGGCATCTTTGAGATACTTTAAGGAATTACAGGAGGCACGTTATCGCGCGAGAAATCGATCTGCGACTTGCAAAGTGTTTCGCTCGAGTAATCGTTAATCGAACAGAGCGAAAGTCAAAGAATTTTCACGACGCCGTAGTAAACTCAAGCAAAGATCAGGAACAACTTTACGTGTACGTACTTGCAGATACAGAAGGCTCAGAAGCTAGTTACCGTAAGCCATCAAAAATGATTTACGGCGTACAAATGTACCTTGCCTGCTACAAAGATTTATAAGAAAGTAGATTTATAAGAAAGTGTACCATAAGCAAAATTCTGACAAGAATTGAAAAAAATTTCTCAACTTTCCCAGGTTCTCAATCGTTATATTTAGAAAAAAATATGAATTTGCACAAACAATCGCAATGAACAAACTGACAGTTTTCAACAACGAAAACTAAAATTGGCACCAGCCGTTTTGTAAGCCCAGAAGTAACTAACATTCGTTGGCTTCTAATCCCACCGTGTAGCAGTTGGAAAATGACATCGCTTTCAATGTCACGTAAAAACACGCGTACGACACGTTATAAATATTGCCCGGCGAGCCAAGAATTACGTTCTACGAAAGCCAAAATTCTCTCTCCTCGTACGAAACGGAGCAGCAGAAAACGGCCAGCTCGCTAAATGACGAGGAGCATAAAACGCCGCGCAACCCGACGTCCCCCGTTTTCCTTCTCGCAACGGAGAAAGAATTTCCTTGGGCGGCGGAGCACCGACTCGCGTCCGCTGGCCACGAACAAAAGTAACGCGGACACTTTTTCGCGTTGCGTGAAATATTTATCGTTCCGGAAGGCACTGTCGTCGTGAAAATTCGAGGAGAAAAGATCCCCGAAAACGAGGCACAGGAGGGGAGAAAGAGAGAGAGAGAGAGAGAGAGAGAGAGAGAGAGAGAGAGAGAGAATCGCGGACACGACGAAACCAACGCGACGAGTGAATAATATATGTATGTGAACGGAATAGAGGAGAGGCTTACTTGGTTGCGGCGAGAGCGAATTGTCCGAGGCCATCGGGGGTGGTGGCGGGGGCACGATTCCGGTTTCCGGTTTCGCCACCAGAAGAACCACGCGGTCCTGGGTCGCCTTCAGCGTCGCCACCGCCTCCTCGTGCGTCACGTTCTCCAGGTTCTTGTCGCCCTGCTGGAATCAAAGGAATCCGAATGTTTTTCTTTTGTCTTTCTTTTCTTTCGGCCTCAACGCTGCGCGACTGACAACTTCATGCCGAAACTTTAATTGAATTTTATTGGACTTGGTTAAAACACGCAGATCGCTTTTTCTTTTCCTCCTTCTCTGGTTTCTTCGGTTTCTGATAACCGTTCTGCTACTGCCGAGTTTTTTTTTTTTTTTTTTTTTTTTTTTGTTAATCGTAACTTTTTGTTAATCGCTTGGAATTAAAGAGTGACAATATTCGATCGCAGAAGTATTCGACATTTCGATTAATACTGTAATGAGACACAGATGGTTTGAAACAGATCTAAAATGTATATAGAAATTGTGAGATATTTATTGAGAGCACGTATTTAGTAAAAAATCGATATACGTGTCAAAGAGTTATTTTAAGCATGTAAATGTTAAATTTCGTCTCGCTGAATACAATGGATAATTTGAATATTAAATATATAATAATTTAATTGTATTTATATTTATATTCTTTCATTTATTCCAGAATTGATCATCGCGATCATAGCCATAGCTTATTACGGTGTTAATGAAATGACAAAATATTTGATGTAACGCGCGTAATATATTCATGAAAAGTTCCCCCATATTTTCTTAAGCAAATATATTTGTAATTCCCAAGTACATGTATATTTTTAGACTTATTTTGTACTTGATTAACATAATCACAACGATCGTGTCTTAATGCTAGACCGCGGATGTTTAATTTTATATTTTGTACGAAGATAATTGGAAAAATGAAAGCAGGGTAAAAAATTATTTGCCTATTATTAGAATATTGTACTTTAAATATTTCACATATCATTCTCATATCTTTGTATCTCCAAATTTCTCACGAATGCGCAAAAATCCGCGGACTGCTCGTCACAGTCACGGTATTGAAAGAATTTCAAAATATTTCATACAACCAACAAAGTATTGTATTTCTGCCTGCGGTGAAAATTTTCTACAGCTAGAGTACGATCAAATATTTATATTTATGAGCGGAATGACGGAGCAGCGTTTATCACGTCTCATTAATACCACCCGGTGGAGCTTGCAGATAATTCGCGCGAACATAAAAAGCGCTTCCCTTTCCCCGTCTTTTGCATCGCGTGAAATATTTCTCTTCGTTCATCAACCATCGTCCATTCATCTTAATTTTCCAAAGCATTCCCTTTTATCGTTCGTTCCATCTCCTGCCCTGTTCCACATTTTCCGGATCGGAGCGACGCGTGAAAGGGATAAGAGGGAAAATCGACCGGAGAGAAGGAAGTGGCAAGGATCGCCTCTCTTCTGAAGCACGGAATATCGATCGCGAGATTTCGCGGTAATTGATTTCACCCGTTCAATTTCCCCTGTCAATCATTGTTCGTTTACCTCTTGCCGAACGCTTTCAGATGAATTATCGAGCAAATATATTGCCAGAGAGTTACGCGTTCCTCTCTTTGTTGTTCGTCGTCCTTATTAAGACGAACGATTACGTACGAAACGATAGTCAATTTCATTCACCGAAAAAGGAAGAAGCTTCTCTGCGGAAAACAATCGTTAAACAGGTATAGAAGTTGATTCCTTTGCAATCTTTTAATTTTCGAATTCTTCAAAGACTTCGTATTTGAGTTTAAACGAAAAAAAAAAAAAAAAAAAAAAAAAACACGAAACAAATAAATACTGTTAACTGTATATTTTCACGAAATAAGACAGGGATAAATAGTATTAGGTAAGAATGTTACATCAACAGCGAATTATAAAATCTGATTTGACATATTTGAAAATAAAGTCAGTATAAATAATACTGAAAATCCTGACTTACGCGTAAAAAAAAAATATACGTAAAATTTGTCACAAGGTAATTAAAAGGCTCAAGAAATTAAAATATATTTCATATGGAGAAAGATAGTTATTGACCACGCGAAGATAATTACTACAGATTAGGTAATTTTCTCTCAAACAGCTTATTCGTCGAAACTGGGCTCTTAAAATCACCATCTGTTTCGATCGTTTGTCCAAAACAATTGAAGAAATAATTACTAAATTCTCTGACACGAAACAGTCTTCTTTCAAGAAGAAGATCCTCGAAAGTTGCCTGATAGAAATAAATGTACACAAAGCAAAGGATATATTCTAGTTCTTTGCAAATAAACGATAAATTCACAAAGGAAGGGACCCATGAATTAATTTGCGCGCCTAATAAATCTCACCCTCGTCCGTAGGTAAGAAATATCTAATTTTTACAACAGCCTGAAAAGAACCGAGGAGATAACGGAAGGAAACCAACGTTTTTCAGTCGATCGTAAGTTTCTCGGTATCGTAATAAATTAGAAGATAAATATTCACCTGGCCAAACAAACGCCGTGAACAAATCCTTCGTGCAAGCACGTTTCAGTCTTTTTAATCTCTCTCCTTTCGTCGTTCTCATTTTCTCTCTGCTTTTTTTTCAAATTTTTTAATCTATTCGACGAAGTACACAGAGGAGAGATCGTGCGTGAAAAATGAGGCACGATCGAGAAAGAGAACGACACGACGGTAATTATCCAGCAAAAGTTGACGCGTTGAAAAGGGAAGGGAAAAAAAAAAGAAGAAAGAAACCGTGACACGGTCCAAGTTTCGTAACACGGAACGTGTCATAAACAGCTGACGAACTTTTTGTAACGTTCTTCGTTGTTCTCAGGCAAGTATATGCAAAGCAATCACGCGCAAAGTTAAATCGACTTGCGATCCATCCTGTCGGTCGTCGCTCTGAAAACTTTGGAATAAATCGTTCTTCGAAACGAGCGAAAAGAGAGACGGTCGATCTATTCACGAGGAGAACTTGTCACAGTTTTCTCTCTCTTTCTTTTTTATTTTATAAAGTCAGCAACATTTTGTCGCTGTTTTAAAATACACGCAACGTCTACCCAAAATGTGCTCGATGTTGCTTCAGTGTAGAACGTAGCTTTAATTTTGGTGTTCGTAAGAGAGACAGAGAGATCTCCAACTGAATACTCGAAACGTAGAATTTTCAATATTAGAACACGCTACCGATTACTGAAATATAAAAATATATAAATTACATCGCAGAGAAATGGAAGTAGGGAAGCAGTGTCGGAAAGAGGACAAAACTGTCGACGATTGAAATACAAAACTTGTATGAGAGAAATTAAAATGCAAAGAGTGAGAGATAGTATAAGATTTGTATGTACAAATACCTTTGTATTCTCATTTTGTACAAAAGGATCACTCGAATCTGAAAAATATTCTATGGAAAAATCACAAAATGGTCGTTTTAATCACTGCGATAGTTTCAGTATTAAGTCCCTGTCACAATAACAAATATGTGTTTGAAATATCTGTTGTACAGTCCAATGTGAATACACGTATATTGGAAATATTTGTTTCGAGACTTGTCGCACGTTCAAAATCGCGCGCAAGTCGCGATTGTAAATCAACGAGAGCGATGTAGAGACCGCTTTAATCGCGGCTTCTTCCACGATGTAACCGCTTCGGTCCCTCGGGAGGAAACGATGGAGCGGCGAGAAGAAAAGGGAGCCCGTCGATGCGAAAAATCGCGCGATGCAGCGAAACGAGCAGTATCCGCGCTTGCAACCGCAGCAACGAGCCGTCGATGGAACAGCTATCAATTACTCGTCGCCGTCAAAAACCACTCTCATCTATTTTTCACGCAGCTCTCGCCCCGATCTCTATTCTTTGTGAATCGCGAATCAAACGAGGAGGATTTGCCTCCAATTTTCCATCGACCTTGCACGTGTGCTATCAATAAAGCTTGAAATAGCGACGGATTAAGAGTCATAGAGAATTCATCGGTTTTCATTGATACATTCGAATCATTCAATCCCTTTCTGACACACACATTGCAACAGTAACACTGTTTGCACGAAACTATAAAAACTACACTTTTCGAGACATTTAGACAGCTATCAAATTTTAGATTTCTTCTTAACTAACGTTATACAAACTCTGAAAAGATGTGAAAATCACGACGCCTATTGTACAAGTTATTATTCTGATAATTATTAAAACACGAGTCTTTTATTCCAGCTTTGCTGGAATCATAAATCTTCTTCTTTCCCTTTCATTTTCATTCGTACATACTTTTTAAACAAATTCGCCCTCTTACGCGTGTAGTATTAAACTACAATGAATATTCGAAAGAAACATTGATCTTCACGGCATTTACAGAAATTTCCTCGCGGCAGAGAGGAATTTTATTACTATTTTGTTAGGATGAAGAGAGTGTTAAGCGGAGTAAATGCAGCGAATAAATCGAGCTCTGACTCGGGAGAGGAATTACGCGATTACGCTTCTCTCTCTCTTTTTTTTCTTTCTTTTCGTTTAAAGCGAAGAAAATGCGTTCCTTCTTTATTCCCGGCAAAGCTATTTCACGTGAAGGATTCTCTAATCAAGACCAGGCTTCTTTCTGCAGAGTCGTCGATCAGATTAAAAAGTTTCAACGCCTCGTTTCAACACCCGTGAAAGATACACGAGGATTTACAATTCCAGAGTTTTACCACGTAATTTCTCTCTCACTCTGCAATAAAAGCGTCAAGAAGGGAGACACGCGGCCTGTGATTTTCCAAATCGCTGTAACTCGCGATTATTAAGGAGCGGAGGCTCGGGGATAAATTCATCGTCACTAGGAAACGATAGCGGACGAATGAAATCAGGACGAAGGGAGTATAATTCAGCCGGTACTCACCAGAGCATTTCTGACGGCCACCAATTTGTCCCCAACGACGAGGCGGCCATCCACTTGCGCGGCGCCGCCCTCCATAATTTTCGTTACGTAGATTCCATTGTCACCAGGTATATGTTGATTGCCAATACCTCCGGCGATACTGAAACCGAGGCCCTTGTTACCCTTGATTAGCTCGATCTCGATCAGCTGCGTGTGCCTCCGTCGTCGTACGTACTGCAAAATTAATCGAGAGCCTCTCTTACATCTTTGGACGTGTCGGACATCGAACGAACAACATTAAACGAAGTAAAATTAAATTATTCTAGAATTTTTTCCTCTTTCGTTTCGTTTCGTTTCGTTTGACACATTTCCCAGCGGGATGTTTGAAATGACGAATGTAAGAAATCTATTATTACAGAAACTTTATAAATGATTGTACAATTTTGTTGTTTTAACGCTGTAACAATCGAATCCGTCGACACGGCTGATTTCAGACTTTCAAGGTTTTTTACAACCGCTTGAAAGATCCAAATATTCTTGTCAATTATTAATATTAATCTCCGTCTGAACAGAACATGATTCTATATATCTATTTATAATTATCGTTTGAATTATAATAGTTTGTACGTAGAATATCTTGACAGGTTTTTTTGAAATAAAGCACTGTATATAATAAAAAATGTGTAAAGAGAAGAGCTCCGTTCAAATCTTATTATTAATCTCCATCAGAGATAAAGTGCAAAGTAAAATTTCTTTATAAATAAAACACCTATTTTAGTAATGTAATATAAGTTGCTACAGCAGTCGTCTCGACTATATTATCTAAGAGTTAAATTAAACAAATTAGACAAAGATCTACGAAGCTGGTTCTTTGTTCATTTTATTCTTCCATTCAACGTATAGAGGGTATCAAACGAATATATTTCCAAAACAGCACAAAAATATCGTTCTACAATTTCTTTCTCAAGATTTCGCAATGATTTTCAAAGATATCGAAGTTGAAATAAAGTTTTCTACCTTTTGAAGCTCCGTTCCGAATCAGATCCAATGAAATTACAGGGTCGATTCTTTGTCCCTTTCCACGAAGTTAGTTTCCTATTCCGAGAGAATCCGTAGTTTCCTTTCGCGAGAAGCACAGCAATTAATGAACGAAATTAACGAGCTATTCAACGACAAGGCGGAAAGAAGATACTTTCTTTTTACAGTCGAAATACCTATCCCCTTAACCGTATAATGCTTCTTTTTAAGCTTCAACCGAAATATAAAAGCTCGATGAACTACTCGCCGGTAAATTCTAGGCGAACGAGACACGATTTAGTCAAACAAAGCCAAGTTTCCACCACCTTCTGTTCGGTGGTAAGCGGCTCCTGTTAAATTTCGGAGAAATTAAATGGACTGTTACATCGAGGATAATTAACATTTCACTTTCACGGCGAGGGTCGCGGCTCCGTTTACCGCGGTTCACGGCAACACTACACGGCATAAATTTAATTAAATCGGCCCCCTAGGAAACGCTATTAAAGTTTCACTAACGTTAAGCCTCCTCTTAAGGATCCGCGCCATATCGCTCGAGGGGGTGGGAACGAGTGGTGAAATAATAATATCCAGCCCGTAAACGCTTTTATGCCTGCCCCTCTACCTGTTTTCTAACCACTTGAAAAAGGTTAATAACGCAGGTGAGAGGGGGAGAGGGAGAAAAAGTAGTAACATGTAAAGAGAAGCGGAGAAGAAATTGGTAGCGAGAATTGGAAAAGAACAGAAAATGCGATCGAACGTGTTGAAACACCCCCATTAACGTGCAAATAAAATAGAACTTGACGTGTACTGGAAATACCATCCAATGTACGAACCTCTCAGTAGCTATTTCAATTTTTACTTAGTCTCCAATTGTATATGTTGATATAATTAGTATTTAACCTTTCAAAGTGAAAGATTTGTCACGGTAACTTTCATTAATTCTAAGGAAACGGCAGGGCGAATTTTAAAAAGTAATCCACACCAATTTGATTGGCATTGCCTCTGAACGACTTGTATATATATTAACTTGAAATTATGTACAGCAAAACGGAACGTTTAAACTGTGAAACATTATCATAAGTACTGTTAACGAACAATATTAATGAACAGTAATTAAGCGACAATGTTCACAAATTTTTCAGCGAGTAGAAATCTTTAGAAAGATCTGAAAAAAATTTATTAAATTAATCTCCGAACCTTCCAAAGTGAAATTCTAATAAAAGATTAATGCCAACATTTCTCAAATTTTCTCGAACAAGAAAAATCTCAATCAAGTAGCAAGATATAATAATCAATTACGCGTCTTTGACACGTACGAAAAAAAAATGACATCTCGCCCGAATGTCTCTGCACGTCGACAAAAAAAAAAAAAAAAACGAAACAACAAGAGAAAAAAATGATAAAAATGATAAAAGAAAGTTTCATCTTCGGGAAATAAAATATTTCCCAGGATGCAGCGCGGGTTCTAGGTTAAATACCCCAGGTCGCCGCGTCACACGTGGGAATTTATTCGGCTGGCATTTCACGCGCCACACAGTAGCTCGCTCAACTCTTCCATTCAAATGCTAACGCGCTCGATGGCCGGCGAGTTTTTACCCAAAATTTCCCGGCTCTTGGTCTTCCTGAACTTTGGTCCACGACTTGGCTGTCAAATTAATTTATTATTTCCGCGGTGCGAAAAAGACCAGCCATTTATTATATATTTCGTCGTTGCTCTGGTTTTTAAACGATCATTTGGTCGTCACACAACCAAACGGAATAACATCGTCTCCCTTTTCAATCCATCTCCTTTCGCTCTTCTTTTTTTTTTTCACATTTTATTTTCCGGTGGTTCCGAGGGGGAAGATACCGCGAGAGCTAAAGAAACGCGAACGCTCCGGGCATTATTTCGCCGAGGCAGCGAAAGGACATCTCGGTTTCCCGCAAGATATACAGCCGGCATTGTCGTCGGGCCGCGATTATCTCGCGTCGAGCTAGCAGATAATAATTGAACGTCTAAAACGGATTCTCTCGCGGCAGACGCCGCTTCATTGTTCGCAAAGATCTTTCAAATCACGCGTCATTTATTTCTCCCCTTTCTTTCCTTCGATCGGCAGACAATACAGAAAACGTGAAAATTATTTCGGCAATTTCGTTTCGTACGATAGTCTGATTCGAGTACAAGCTACCTCTCTCCGGAAACTACTGTTTTCTACGATCTTTTACTGATTTCGATCGACGCCATAAACAATTTCAACACTGGAACTATCGACGATCACCGCGCAAAATTTCTATCGGAGACATCAAAGTCCAAAAAACAAAGAAACCCTGCAATATTTATAATGGAGAGTGTACGAACTTTTATTTGTATATTTTACGAAAAATTATTTAAATCGTTAAAGACACACACTGTTTTACATCCGTAAAATGTCTGACAAAAATTTAAAATCGATCATTTTGACCATTTTGATAGTTCCAGTGTTAAAAGTGATACCACGAAGCGTGGAAATTATTTTAATGGTTCCGTAGTATTTCCGATCCGAATGAATAAAGTTTAACAGCGAAGCACAAATCAATTTCTACGGAGGAGTTTCGTGTCATTTCACTACTTCTTTTCTTGCAATTCAGTACTTTTCGATCGTCTCTACGAACAATTTCGAAATAAATACCGCAATACGTAGGAACTATAATTTTATTCCACAGCAGTTTAGATTCAAATTGTAAATCTTTACATATTGCAATTAAATAATCGACGTTGTTATTTTGCTACCAGGCACAAGCGAACTTCCCTTTAATTTCTTTAATTGACATTATTAACAATGAAAAAAAAAAAAAAAGATACACTGCTGCTTAAAGGGAAATAAATAACTGATCTTTAAATGACTTCACAATTAAATCGTCGACGTTTTAAAACGCATTTGCTCTAGGAAGCAGAACTTCTCCGGACAAGTCCCAATGAGACAATCACTCAAACGTCGTCGGTGGTAAGTCGTTAGGGTTGAGGGCAAAATTTTCGAGTAGTTTGTTACTCGTTCCTCGAATGTAGGTTAATCTATTTCCCCGGGAGAAGCGTGTTCACTTTTACGACGTTGCTAAGCGATTTCGAAAGATGTCTGCTCCAAATCCAAGCATCGTTCGTGCCATTCAAAACGATAAAATTGCAGTAGTCTCCATGTGATGCAGTGGAAACTTTTATTTGTTATTACGCTCGTAGTAATAAACCATTCGAAACAATCGGAAAATTGTGTAGGTCGTCGTCTATAGATACACTTCCCCTTGGCTGTTCTTCTTTATACGACATTACGTTTCACTAGACACTATTAAAATAGCTATAAAATATTATGAAAATACTAGACACTATAATACTATATAACGATATACGAAATTAATACAAACAGTTTTTCAAATTAAAATGTAAATAAGTTTAGATATTCAATCTTTACGTATTCTATAGACAGAATAAAAAAGAGTTTCAAAGAAGAAAAAAATAGGAACAGAAACACGAAGAAGAAGAACAGCAAACTTGCGTACTTTAAACAAACTCTATCTTTCTCCGAGTATTGTACGAATAACACGTCGATCTATCAACCCTGTAACAATTTCCTCGACTCTTCGTTTATTGGCACAATCAAATCGTTCATAGCTACGAGTCTTTAACTGTTCCCAAGCAGTATATAAATCGTTCAAAAGCCACGCCAATGATCAATTCCGTAAATTGAGAAGTATCGTGAAAATAATGATGTTAGAAACTTAGAGCTTACCGTTATTTGCAATAACTTCTTGCGGTAAATGGAGATAATTTCGCCTGTTTCTTGAGACAAGAATTTACGTCGTATGTATCGTAAGAGCGATGCTTTCTTACTGAACGTTCGTTCCCGACTACAACAAAAGTCAAGAGTCAAGCGAGCGTTCGACTTACACGTGGCAAATTATTCCTGGAATTCCAAAGTCCTCAACAATTTCGAAAACAGACGTCGAACGCAATACGAAGGATATTTGCCGCGAACGTATATAGTTATTATACTCGAGCTCGAATTTTGTCGAAGTACACAACAACACGTACGATTTTGCTTCTAAGAGGTTCGTGTGTTATTGAAAATTATTTTTAACCTGCTTCATATCACGATCTTGTTCTCATTTTAGTGAACAAAAGGGAAGTGAAAATCAAGAAATTATACGCATCGATTAAACTTCTTTCATACGTACGTTTGTTGTTAAACCCTCGGCAATATCTTGCAATTTGAATGTGTGTGCATAACCATATATCCATCTTAAGAACATTTTACTTCATACTACCCGATTCATTTATAGTAACATTTAACAAACGATCTATTTCCTTCGGAATCAACTCTCTTAGTAATCTTATGATTTTTCTGGAAATACGAAGCATTGTCGCAGAAACAAATCGTGCAAAAAAACACGACTGCTCTTCAATAGAAACGTTTCGAAAGAATAAGATATCAGCGAGGAAAGTCGAAATATTCAAATGTTCAGAGTGTTCAAATTATTAAAATAATCCTCCTCCTAAAGTGCTAAAAGGGTTGAATTAGAGTACACGAGATATTCGTCGCCATAAGAAAGATATCAGTGAATCGGAAACGATCGAAAGAGCATAGCAGGAGTCAAACAAATTTCTGTACTCCGTGTGTAACAAAGAATGTAATAGAGACTTACTAGTTTAACGGTGTTCCCTGCTCGTTTGAGCGCATCGACGGCCGCCGCGTGCGGTACGTCGACAACGGAAACCTCGTTCACCTGGAGTATCGTGTCGTTGACGCGTAGACGACCGTCCGCTGACGCGGCACCGCCTGGTATGAGTTTCGTGATGTAAATGGCAGTGTCGTTGCCGAAGTGTGGATTGTCCGTGCCCCCGGCGATGCTGAAGCCAAGTCCAGCACCACCCCTCTCGAGTACGATCTCCTCGTACTCCCAGTCATCGTCACCGTTGACCTGTCATCAAATCATTTTCGTCCATGTTAATAAAATCACCGATGATTTAATGGTTGTCAACTCTGCGCGCTGATTATTTTATTTTTAAAGTCAAGAATCTTGAAACATGCTAGTAATATTACAATAAAGTACAGTAAACTCTAGTAATTATTATAATAAATTAGCATCGGATTCATATCGTATCAGTATATCATTAAATTAATAACAGTTTATTTTAATAGAAATTTCCACTTCTATGCATCTACATCGATTGGTAATAATTAACTCCGTTGCGTTGGCAACTGGTTCGCGGACCATAAAGAGTGACCGAACCGTATACAATATAAGCGTATAATTCGCTTTCTTTTTCCTTTTGAACTCGTCGGTATATCACTGGATAGAAATTATTAAACTCTATCATTTGTTTTACCTGGATTACATATAAATGTACTTAAAACTGAGAAAATGTTGCAATTTGGAACAAAGAATTCTCAAAACGTGAGTACCAGTTAAAAATCACAGTTGTTATATCAGTTCTATTTTAAAAGATTTCCAATTTGATTCAAGTTTACTAAAATAAATCATCACTAGGTTATCTATGATCCAGTGATGACTGACACTGAATTTTTTTTTTTTTTAACAAAGTAGCGATCAAGTTGGAAATGTACAGGCGTAAAAAAAGAAAAAAAAAAGGAATGATCGAAGTTTAAATGAGCGATGGAGAGATTGAAACGCAGAGAGAACAGCGTAACACAAAGGAAAGCAGTGATTACATCGGTAATCCAGCACGGGTCAGTTCCTAATTACATGAGGGACGAAGCTTCCCGCAGAGCAAAGGAGTTAACTGGTTAATTGATTTTGAGACCCGCAGGAGGAGTAGATTAGGCCACGGATCTGAATCGATTGTGGTGGATTATGGTAGTTATCGCGAGAATGCTGATATCGTTTAACAATGTTATAATCCTGTACGCGCCTCCACGCTTATCACGCAACAAGATTACCATAGAAATCTCCAACAACAGGGAAACGAACTTCCTTCCTTTTGAAACGAGCTTTTACACGACTTTCAAAACTCTCCGTATTATACTTCCTGCTCATAATAGGACTAGATTAAATCAAATTTCTCATTCAACCGTGTGGAAAGAAACACGAGTGTCATTATTCTCGAAGAAAACAGGAGGAGACTTTCAACAGTAACAATATTTCACAGAATTGGCAAATATTTCGCACGAATCGCTGTTTCGCATTGTAAAGCGGATAAAAATCTTGTCAGCTTTACAAATTTCTCGAGAAATATCGCAGATTTCGATCTGTTTATCAAAATGTTCAATTATTTCACTGTAAAAACCAAGATGCTACCGTTCAATCATTTCTACGAACGCATCGATGAGTCAGTTTCGAGGGAGATAATATAATTTGGAGCTGCGAATATCCGATTCACTTCATTTGGAATAGCTTGTACGTGATACGAGTAGTTTTTGAATCCACGAATTTGATTCGAACACGCGTTCAAAACCACATTCTTCGAATAGAGTCTACGATCTTGGAATCCGTGTTTTTTAATACATAACGTAAATACGCGTTTACTGCCCATACACTACACAAATACATATTTATTGTCTCATCTATCTTCGTTAAAATATTAGTAATAAAATTTATTATTTTAACATGTTAGTGTTTTAAATTTAGAATTTAAATTAAATTATATGAATTATAATAAATAATAATTTTAGATTTAAATTATATTTATTTTATTAATATTAATGGTAATATTAAGAGTTACTTTTTTTTACTTTATTTAAACGAAAAATTTTAAGTTATATAATATCTTAAATATCCAAATAAATCATGAAAATTTAAAAGTTTATTTCAACCTTTTAGTGATACATTGAAATTAATTTTTAAGAGAATATTTTACTTGAAATTAAATAAAATATTTTATTATAGACCTATATTTTTTATATCATCGATATTATGATTAATTTATCCATGAATTCATAATAATATTAATGTAATATATAGAATAATTTTTATATTATTTATTATAAGATTAAATGTTTGTCCAATTTTAATTATTAGACGAGTTTCAATAAATAATTATTCTATATTAGGAATGAACACGTTTAATTTCACAAATAATTTCATTTGCGTCGAAAATTCAAACAACTCTTACTTTCATGCTCTCTAAACAACTACAACACTTGAACCCTCTATCGGCTCTATTTCTGTGAACTATAAACTCACAAGACGAATCGGATCGATTGGTCGGAGAGAAAACCATAATCTACGGCTCTGGACCGGCTCCAATGGCTCCATTCAAGACAGAATTGGATCAACGTAACAGGGAGAAGCCTGCCGGGGCTGCAAGCACGACGCCGCGTTCCGAAATGCATTCCGCGCGTACGATCAGTATCGCGACGATCTCACGCGTGTGGCAATCACGAACTCTACGATAGATTTGCTGCACGCTGCTGCATCAGTACATATTGCCTACGGAATCGTGAATTAATCGCCGGACCGAATTACCATTCTACCGGAGACCGGTGCCGGACAGATGGAACGCCATAAGGCTCGTTACCGGGCTCCAACACCCAGTTACTCTCTCTGCGGCAACAGAGCCTCAGTCCAGGTGGCCGCGTTGATGTTACGATGCAATTACGTTAGGTGGACTGTCGCACGACTAATCGACGATTAGCAACTACTAGGTCCACCGGTGAATGCCACCGGCTAATTAATCCTAGTACGTTCGGCATTGGGAAGAAGATCGGTTCGCCTGACGCCACTGGCGATATTGGTCAACGTTCGTGTCAGAATGATAAGCGTGCAGGATAACATGGCGAAGACGGAGACAGGCAACGAGATACTGACTGTTTTTTTTTTTTTTTTTTTTTTTTTTTAATCACGCGGAAATTACCTTGGTACAATCGATTTTACATCATTATTAAGTACGTTTTACGCTGGAATTAACATAGTGGTGGCTCTCTATAAAAATGACTAATTTTTATAGATGTAAGACAGTTTTTATAGATGAATTTTTATAAATATATTAAATATAATACAATAATATAATAACATTACATAATATTAAATGTATTTAACATATAAATATATTAAAATTTTTATAGAAACGAATTTTTAAACAGTGTACTCTTAGAGATTCCCCGCAAAATGTATAAATTGAAGCTTGCGTGTTCCATTGTATTATGTTTTTCAATTTTTTTTTTTTATTTCAATGTCTCTAATGGATATTCTGTGCTCTGATTCTAGTTGTTGATACAATCATCGCGATTCACGGAAGCAATCGTTAAAGAAAGTCGAACATCTTTCTTGAAATTTCTGTTTGCAATTTCAACTTGCGTTGCCGTGAAACACGTCTTTAAATTAACAATCGTTCCCTAAATTATTACTGTCTCGTGAGTGAGGCTCAGTTAACGACGAGAAACTTTTAATAAACGACACATCGCGTGCAGTCTAATATACATAAAACATCGATTCACCATTTTATGCGGTCCGTTCACCACGCGGATAGTTGTCATCGTGTATATCGATCCAGTGTCGTTGGCAACATTTTCAAACACCGACAACTGCAACGACGACGCCTTGGGCAGAGCACGATACAAACTTCCGTTCACGTTCACCGCATTCACTCGAACTGTACCAACGATACAGCAGATTATACCGATGTTCTCGTATCACTGTTTTTCTTTTTTCCTTTTTTTTTTTTTTTTTATCGCACTACCACACACCGAAACGCTCCAACATTTCGTTCACTTCGACGCGAAAATGTTCAACGCGTGGCAACTGATTTTTCGCTCGGCGAAGGGAAGTCTGCGTCTCTTTCCGCCGCGGTGAAAATAATGCATAAATCACGCGGATTATTTATGACGGGGCTGCACGGCTACGTATTATCAAGTAATAATCAGTATCGGAGCGTTGCGTAATACCGTGGAAAATTCACGTTCGGAGCAGAGATTAATACGCTGCTGACGTTTGCATAAATCCTTCGCAGCTACCTTAAACGCGCGTTGATCCCGCTACCGGGATATATCTTCCCGCTCGAATATTCCAAAATTTCCCTTCCAGCTTGAAAATTGTGAATAACAATAGGCACGTGTTTCCGTTTCGTGTCACACGTTGACTGCCACGATTGTCACCAGCTAGACTGCTAGTTTCTATTTTCACAAATATTTTAGAATGACTGAAACGAGCGACGAAAGCAAAATGATCACTATAGTTTTATTACAGTTGGACTTGGAACTCGAAAATCTCTGGCAAAGGCGAAACTCTCTTTCATTCTTTCCCGCCTCACAACATGCTGTCTTTGTAACACGAATATTACTCGAATTTATTCGTTACGTGTCTAGAATATATTTCACTTTTGCAATTCAAATTCAGAAGATTACTTCTACCTTCGCATAAAAAATCAATTCAGGCAACAACTTTCCAACTGTTTACTCTTTTTTTTTTTGAATCTACTTTACTCTAATGATATTCGTATGCGGATGCAACGAATAATTTTTCATAAAATTATTGAACAAAATGAATTCCAACGTTCGAATTCTCGTTTACGCGAGAAAAAAAAAAAAAAACTGGACCTCTTTCCTTCCCTGAAATTCGATTCGAAGTTCAACATGATACGTGCAACGTGATATTTTCTGAAAACGAAACATTGCATTTCGAGGGGTGCGAGCAAATCGTGGCAGCGAGCGCATTAATTGAACATTCCAACAGCTTCACCTTGCGGCCACTAATTATATCCCAAACAACAGGTGCAAACGTTTGCATTTTAGCAACACGACGAAGTTCATCGAGAAATAGACTCCACGTGATTCTCCACCGCGTTACACAACTGGCAACTCGCGAACGAACGAATTCTCTCGCCGGGAGAGCTTTCGACGATCGAAACGCGGCTTCGAGTGACTTCCTCGAAGGCCGGAAAACGCGAAACTGCGACAGTTCCGTCGGTAGGAGCAAGAAGTAACGTTACACGGTCCCGTTCTCGTTCCCGCGGAGCGTCACACACGCTCGAAACTGGCGACCGTTTCGCCCGCGACTCGACTGGTGCTCGCTCGCTCGCGTTCGCGCCGCGCCAGTCATCGCTATTATAATATTAGACCAGTGGCCGGCTATTTCCAACCGACTGTGAAAATATACCATCGGCACGCGTGTTGGACGAAGAAGGGATACGGCCACGATAAAACAAGCATTTCGTGGTCAGTCACACGGCTCGCCAGCTCTAGCTATCGAGATTTACGATCCCGTCGATCGATCGTACGCGAACGAAAACTCAAACGGCGTGTCATGTGTCGGCTCTTTTTTCCACGGGACGTTCCTTTCCGATTTTTTTTTTTTTTTTTCTTTTTTTATACTCGCGTCAACGCGTTCGGCTCGCGAGTTTGGTTTTTCTCTTCTGCCAGAGCAAGCAAAGTATTTTATTAAATAATGTGAAAGATAGAGGCGCCAGTTTCATGGTAATTTGTTAATATTATGATGTTTGGTGATATAATAACATAATATTGATATTTCTATATTGACAATGCTTTCTTTAATTCTATGTAGAAGAGAATTATATATAACGCAATTAATATATGTAGAAGAGAAATATATATAACGCAAAATAACGCGTTTATTTTGCGTTCGTTGAAAATGAAAAATTTCTTCTATAATTATGTTCAACTGTAACTAAACTACTTAAATTTAGACAATGTCTAAATATTATAAAATTTACTTTGAATATATTTCGTGTATTATATATTCACAAATATCATGTGCCTATTAGTGCCTATGAAATTTTTCCAAGTGAAAGTAACCATCTATTTTTCACATTTCATATTCGATGTTTATAATGTTTGGTAATATAATAACATAATATTAATATTTCTATAGTGACAATGCTTTCTTTAATTCTATATAGAAGAGAATTTAACGCGTTTATTTCGCGTTCGTTGAAAATGAAAAATTTCCTCTATAATTATGTTCAACTGTAACAACTAAACTACTTAGATTTAGACAATGTCTAAATATTATAAAATTTACTTTGAATATGTTTCGTGTATTATATATTCACAAATATCATGTGCCTATTAGTGCCTATGAAATTTTTCCAAGTGAAAGTAACCATGTATTTTTCACATTTCATATTCGATGATAATTCCTTTTTGTAGAATCAATGGGGGCAAGCCGCGTAGATAATTCGGTAGAATTCGCGGAAGTTCGGGGTAGAATGGGCATCCATGCGCGTTACGTGAACACGCACGTTCAAAACCGACACGGTGGTCCCGGAATCTTGGCTCGAGAGACTCCAACCGGGACGAATCCGTGCCGTTCGTGTTTCGAATTAACATCGCGACACCAAACCCACGGCTATATTTGTTGGCCTTTGTCGGAACGCGCGGCTCGATGGAGAATTTACATGGGTAAAGATAGCCACATTTCGTGGAAAATGCTCGGGTGGTTTCAGGCCACGGGCGACCTTGAGATTAATTACCGACCCCCGACTAGACGAATCGATGCAAAACCACCCCACCACCTCCTCCTCCTCCTCCTCCGAGTCTCTCTATTTATTAGAATTTCCTCGAGCCGTTAATCTTGCATTTTTATTCGACCAGCCCGTGGAATCTACTCGATCGATATTTTATTTGCTCGCGACGAGTGTACGGCTGTTATTAAAAAAGTTTCGCCCTTCTCGGTTCATCTCGAGGAGTCGGGAGATGTTAAACCCTTGCGCTGGCAACTAATTCGCGGACCATAACGACTGACCGAGCAGTATACAACAATTTGTCGCTCTCTTCTTCTTTTGAACTCGTCGGTATGATGTCACTGGACAGAAATTATTAAAAAGAAATAAACTTATCATTTGTTTTGCCTGGATGACATTTAAATATACTTAGAACAGAGAAAATGCTGCAATTTTGGGAGAAAAAAATTGGAGAGGTTAAGGTGGGTTGAATTGCAATTTAAACGTTACGCATCGCCTGAAACGTTATTGTTGCCATTATCGAGGACTATTCCGAATTATTCGAACTAATCAGTTTCATCCAAAGTCCAATGGTGGCGCGTAAATTTTAGCACCCTAATCCTGACAACCGACGTTTAATTAACTCACGGAGATTCCTCTGCAGCGAGTGCCATCTTCTAGACGTAAAATATTCCCGAAATCATATCCCTCGCATCGTTCACCGGTGCTGGGGCAAGTTTATAGGCAGTTACATGGCGCGGATTCTATGATGTGATTCGACGGAGCGAGCGAGCATTAACGACGAATGAAATTACCGGGTGTATGCGACAGGAATGCCTTTGGCCCATAAAGCAGATTCGCTTAAAAAGGGGTTAGTTAGACGCGTTATCAAGAGCGAGTTAACGCGCAACCATCAACCTGTTTAAACGCCACGCTGTGTACAAACTGTGGGATTTTGTGGTATTTGAACAATATTTAAATATAACAATAGTTAAGCTTGTGAGATTTGAAAATATAGTAAGAACGATATTTGAAATATCTAGATTAGACAGTATCCATGGTTGTCTGGTAGCCGAGTAAGGAGAACAAGTCGATCAGTACACAGTCGAACAGTCTGGCCATCGGTGCATTTTCTACTTAAGGCACGTTCTCCATTTAAGAGACTGGTATCTACGCAATCTACTTACACGCGCACGTTCTTCACCTTTTTTAAAATTTGACAAGTCGAAAAACAAATTTAGTGAGAATTGATCCGTCAAAAATGACTGTAACATAATCAAGTCTGTAAATATTTGACAATATTGCGCCAGACTATGTATATTAAATTTATTAATTTAGACTATTGATTCAGACCTATCATACCTATAAAACTACTATCGCATTGAACATTTTTAAAAATATTTCTCCAAGATTCTCCTCGTCATCATTCTACGTCACAGCTTTGATCCCAACTCAATTGCGAAAAAAAAAAAAAAAAAAAAAGAAGAAGAAAAGAATCGATCGAGTTTAAACTTGGCAGAAAGAGATTACGAACGGAATACAACGTGAATGGAATTAATCATTGCGAGGTGTATTTATTTTTTTCCGCGATGCTCAGGCAACGAGCAGAGCCAGCGAATAAATTAATTTTCCAACAATAAGACGATCTCGTTATTATAATATCGCGGCGAAACGCAGAACTTGCCGGGCGCTGAGTGGAATATTAATTTCACGCGTCGGAATAAATTCTGGCGACGAGAAATTTGCTTTTAAACTTAATACTTCCTCCTGGCTGGCTCGGCCAAGGCGAGCATATATATTACATCCTAAAGTAACGTAAGTAACGCAAGTGCGCGCACGTAAGGTGCGTGCAAGAGGCGAGAAACCGGGTCGTGTTAAGCGGAATTAACGCGAGAGGTAACACGAACCGCTCGCGGAACACACGCACCCGCCTTTTGTCTTGCAAAATTAAAACGAAAAGACTCGTTTCCTCTTTTATTCTCCTCCGTGAGAGGGGGAGAGGGAACGACGCAATCCTGAGCGACTGTTCGCTCGGCTCTCAGCGTCAAAGAGCCAGAAATATTTCATATCCGCGAAAACGATAGGGAGAAGTAGCCGGCCGTGCATTTCTTTGTATTCTTGTCCTCCGAATCTCGTGCGTTCCTCTCGTCCTCGCGTTTATTTATTTCGCCGCTTTAATTAAAATGTGCATAACGAAACGCGGGGCTTTATGGTTGCCACGCGATGCTTGGTCTCCCGCGAGATTTCTCCTCTTGGAAAACTGACGTTCGGTCATTTGTATTCGTGATCTTCGTCGGCCAACTTCGAGACAAATCTATTCTATTTGTCGAAGCGTTTGTATTTCAAGAGACTAAATTTCGAATCTATAGTTTTCTTTTTCTTTCTTTTTTTTTTTTTTTTACAAACGTTAAGATACGTATGCACGTAGCTAACGAATTTTAGTAAATAGCATAGTAATATCAATCTTCAAATTTCTGTTGTTTCTCTGTAGAAAATGGACGAAATTTACATTTATTATAGATTGATCATAAAGAATCAATTTTATGACTCGAATGTTTATGCAAACTTGAGTTTGTATTATTGTAACTAGAAATGGAACCTAAATGAAAGTTTATTTCATTCTCTAAATATCATAATTGTAAGGTGTTTGAGTACTTTTTTAGCTTCGAAATTTAATACTCCAAAAATGTGCAAAATACATATCACACGCAAAGATATGCAAAACACCCAACAATAAAATATTATTATAATATTTATTTATTTATTTATTATTTAAAATTTAATACTTCAAACGGAACATTTTTATTATTTATCGGTATTATTTATATGTATACATTATATATATCTGTAAACTGTAAACTATGTATAAAAATTCTCACGAGTCTATTCACAAAAAAGAATTCCAACTAGAATTTAATAATCTCGGAAAAAGAAGCAACACGCATCTCACAAGTTGACACGAGTGATTCCGTAGCATCGGTATCTCGCGATAATATCGCGAATTTTCAAGATACAACGTTTATATAGAATGCTCTCGAATAATGATAAGGCCACGATTTCCAAGGGGAAATGCATACGTTATTGGGCCAAGATGCGTACGCACATCGCGTTGGATCAACATCGTTCCTATCTTGCAGATTTCTCTGTGATTTGCGACACGTCCTCAGCATCGTCTCCCTCTCGTGACAGATGCATACAGTATGACAGAAGCCATGCGTTTCCTGGTGGTTTACGAGAAACGGCAATACGTTTCAATTAAGCATAACGGAACGAATTTTTCAAAAAGTTGTTAAACGAAAATTCATAGTACATACAACACTCTACACGTGCACATCACCGAGTCCAAAATTTTAGGATTTTGCATGTGAAATAAATACATACGTGGACCTTTCAATATCAAAACTGATTTTCTTGTATCATTATATACAACAAATGAACATGTCGTTACACGCTATAGTAAAAAAAAGTGCGCGTGAATTGAAAGTTAAAAAAAAGAAAAAAGAAAAGAAAGCATATGTATCAGTAAGCAAAATGTAAAGTATTTCCAAATTTCTGCTACAAACTTTTTAAACAATATGTTACTTTCGAAACAGA